AAGACTTCCAGCTGGATTATTTATTCAAAATTGTAATTCTGCCAAATGAACTGTTTGGCAAGATTGCTTATTGAAAGCTCATATCTTAAGTAAATTTTCATAAACTGATGAGTAAATTCTTAAGTAGAAAAAAAACCAACCCTGGACCACTGGATTTAAACAAGAAAAGGTAAGCATTTAAAGTAGAAATACTAGTCTAAAAGTTATAATATGTAATCAAGGCATGAAATCATGCATGGAAAGCTATGTACTCAATACAAAGGGTTAGAACATGACATTTCAAACACTGAATCCCTTCTATGGATTATGCATAAAATGTAGACAGGAATATATTTTTGAGTAAGCCATCAACATAAAGTTGGAAATAATACATATGTCCAAGAAATCCATAGTCAAATAATAACAGGGTAAAAAAAAATCATATATCTTTTCCACTTGCAAGAACAGTTTGTCAGTCAGAGGCAGAATCAGCCACAGAATTACCAGCAAAGTGAAAGAAAGCTTCAGCAGCCTTCACTAGGAGTGGCTAGCAAAATGCTCACTCCTGTATTACCTGATGTGGTTGCAGTACCCTGTATTTAAGCCAGGGGTGCTTCCATCCATTCAAGGATCAGTTCAAATTTAATTAATTAATTAATTAATTAATTAATTTTAACAGGTAGTTGAAAACCCTAATAACAGAGGCATGCAGTAACTGCAATGTTAGAAAACAAGAGTGAAGTTCATAACCCCTAGCAAGATTACAGCAATGCACCATATGAAATCAGAGTGAGAAGAGACAGATGATACAGAGCGTGGTCCAAAGTCAAAGGAAATCAATGGCAGATCATCTGCAGGCTTCACTGGGGTGGGATTGGAACGGAAACATCTAATTTCAAGTCTGATCCTCACTTTGCCTGTAAATTTGGACAAGGTATTTCTATTTTTATGGCCTTCATTTCTTTCTGAAATGGTTGAGAGGTCTCAGTTAGTGTTTCAGAAGAGTGCCAAAACCATAAATGAAAATATGAACAGTTACAGAAATATGAACCATAATCAACAAAACAAAAATAGGGGTTTTTTACCTTAATTGAAAACAAGTAGCAGTGAGATGAGGATACATATTAAGTGCACTTAAACTTCCGACTTACAAAGTCAATTAGAGAGACATTGCAGGACTGTAGATGAAATATATGAGTACCGAAAAAAAAGCAATAAAGCATCCAAAACTACCCAAATGTCTGTCATATGAAAACCTTCCCCCTGCTTCCCCCCCTGAAAACCCACAGGTACTGAATATATTGGCAAAACAGAGAAAGAAGTGTCTTTCAAAGCAAGCCGGCGCTTGCAAAAATAAAACCATTCAGGGAATCTTGATGAATAATAATATGACTACTTATCACTTACATAATGAAGGAAACATTTTTGCCAAGGGCTCAGTGCTAGTGCAATTTAGCAAAATTGTGAGTGAAGAAAAAGGAGTATTGTCAACATGCATATCAAAAAGTTATTTGATTTCATATTGGGATATTACAAACTTCCCTTTCTGAGTCTGTATCACCCCTATTTTGAGCTCCATGAGAGTGTCTTACTAAGAACTAATTAATCCTTCTGGTTGTTCAAATATGTATATATACATAACTGCACCTTTTTGCATAATTTTAGCCTTACCATTTTTGCAAATTAGAAATCATTTACTCAGACAGTTTAAGCCAAAAGGACATTTTAATTGAATTGGCATGATTCTTAGAATTGTATTTTACATAATATTTTTTTTTACAATTGTATTTTACAGTAATACAGTAATACAGTAATACAGTAATACAGTAATAATCTTGGGAGAAGCATTCTCCACACTTAGAGGAAATTCTGTGTTATTCAGAACTGACCTTATATCCTGAAATTACAGTTTTTCATAAATTTTGTTGTGTTCCCAAACCATCTCTTTTCAGGCATGTTTTTAGGTGCCCTCACAAAGGTTTTAGGTACTAAACACAAACTATTCTTGAGTCAATAAATTTTTTCACAAGTGTATTTTTGCCAAGTATTTTCATGCAGGCAAAAGTACAAGTCCTTTTGTCTACTAACTGCAGTATTGTAGAAATTCAACCCTATTTTTATACAGGTGAATTGTCCCTACATATTAATAATGGATATTAAAAAAATTAATTCCAAAAGTTATCTTAAAAATATAGCTCTAATACATGTAATTAAGTATAGTGTAAGATAAGTCTATAAAGCTACACTGATGTGAGCTAAAGTCACTGTGGTACTTTCCTAACACTCTCTGACAGCTATATAATAAAAAGCATGTATGACTATAATATTTAAATTTTAAACTGGGTAAAATTCTCTCTATGTTAATGAAATCCTGAAAAATGTGACTGATGTATTTCAGTTTCACATGAAGAGAGGCTGGTTTATCCATGATAACGTTGTATAACCCAGAAGAATTCCATCCACAGCTGTTGAATAGCATATGTGAAAGATGGGATGTGGGAGCAGTCAAGTACATTATAACCTATATTGATGCCCCCCTTTGGCAATTTTACTATAGAAATCAAGAATTAGTGTGCCTGAAAATAATTACCCTCTCCTCACTAGAGATAGTCCTTCTGTACTGGGATAATACTATGTGGACAATGGCTGTGGGACTGCTTTTGTCATGCTCCTCATGCAATCTGTATTTGACTGACAAACAAAGACTTTCAAGGGCAGAAGTTCAGGTTTTTACGAGTGCTAGTTGTAAACCCACAAGGTAAAATCCTCTTCTCATAAGTGTCAAGATCCTCTGTTCTCCCTCAGGTATGAGCCATCTCAGAGGTGGGTAGCAGAGAATAATGACTACGAAAGCACTGATGTAGCTTTGAGATGAGACTTTTGCTGTGAGAACACTCAGTTCATTTAAGCAGAAAGGGACTCATTATCCGGCCTTCTGTGACAAAACTTTAAAGGCTAATTTAGTTTCAGTCCTTTTGTCTGCCTGTGGAAAACTAACCATTCTGTATCCTGTTTGCTCTCATTTGCCTGAACAAGGGAATTTCAGGATCTGTGTTTCCTGATTTTAACAATTAGACCTTTGGACATTGCTGAAGGTGTTTGTATTTTTACAGCTAAACCTTCATATTCAAGGAGTGAGGAAGCCTACAAAAATAAAAACTATCCAGTGTATTTCCCCATGTGGGGGGTCACTTAATCTCACTGCTATTACAACATCCCCTGCCCAGATGCACATGGTCTAAATCTGCTTTTTCTCATTCTGAAAGGGCAGAGTGTGAGAGGCAGCTCCTAAGGAAAGTGTAGGACACAAACTCTAGTCTGGAAGTCTGGAAGTTGCCAGCAGGCACATGCAAGCTGGGCTCTTTGCTTCGCCTGTGCCCCATAATCCCTCTCCAATGCACTGTAACAAAGTTCAGAAGAAAGAGCACAAGGCTCAGAAGCTACTCTTTGCCCCAGGATAGGAGCAGACACATCAGCACTGCCTCACACTTTTTCAATGGAGTCCATGGAGTTTGTCAGTCAAAAAAGTCTCAGTGGTTCTGAAATAGGTCTGTCCTGAGAGGTACCAAGGCAGGTAAAAAATAAAATATGTCATGTTTTATCTCTGTGCCAATTTGTCTCTCCCTGACTCCAGACTGACACAGTCCCCTGATCTTATCAAAAGGTGAAATATTTTGGCAATGTCTTCTGGCTCCCAACAGACACAACAACTGCATGTCTTGGCAGGCATACTCTGGACTGAGTGACCAATGACACAGGACAGAGCTCTCACTGGGAAGAGATGCAGGCATGGGAAGAGATGCAGGCATTGGAGCCAATACCATGTCCTTGCTGGGCTGTGGGAAAGAGATCAGGTACAACTTATGCTAGCTTAGACTCTTTCAGTCCTTTTCATTCGGATAATTTTCTGAAATTTTTATCACTTGTCCCTGGGCTCTGTTTTTCCAATGTGCTTTCAGTTGAGCACTGAAATAAGCAGGTGGAGTTCAAAAACATTCAAATTCTTAGACTAAATTCTTCTGAAATTCTGCGAAAGTTGGTCTATCTGTGGCTTATTTCATCCAATAAAGCAAGCTACATCTAAGATGGTCTGCTCAGATAGGATCTGAGCTCTTAGCTCAAAACCTCTTGGGAACTTAAGTGCCATTTTTATTCTGTTCTGTAAACACACACATGAGAAAACTCCTGGAGGAGTAACTTGTTACATACCCATGAATTGTCATTTTGGTCTTGTCTGGGTCAATAAAAAACTTCTGAGAGATCTGCTAATATGCTGCAAAACCTGTTAGTTGAAGATAGTAATTTTAGTGTCCCCTCTGGGTACTCTTCTCATTCTTTGAAAGAAGGGAATCATTCACACAGGAAGATATTAACAAAAATGAGAGACCAATAAATGCACCTGTCAGTGTTCAGCAACAGCTAAAATTAATTCACAAATCCAAACAATCTGTAGAAATCTGAACACAATTACATAAGAAATTAAGTTATACAGTTGCCATGACCTTTAATCAATCATTCCAGCTGTTAATGTTAATTTTGTGATCTGAAAATCATAGTTCTATTTGCATTTTAATGGCTGTTAAATGAGAGTCATCAGGAAGAAATAGTGACAGCTTGGCCTTTTGATACCAAGTTCTTCCTTCCTAATGTGATTTGGAAGATTTGGAATTCCTGTTCAGAATGGGTTTTATTTCAAACCACAGCAGGCACACGGAGCCAATTTTGCAGAGGGAAAACTGGCAATTCAGAGCTAAATACCTTTTTTAATCCATCTGTGTCTATGAAAAGATCGTAAAAAAACAGGTGGAAAAGCTGTAATGGCGACTTCATTACCCTCAGACTAACAATACCTCTATCATATTTTAAAGACCTTTTCACAGATATATGCCAGTTTAATATTTTTTTGTGAGTGGAGATGTTTGTACTTAATGAACAGAATTTTTTGTCAAGTGGTCAATGAAACAAAACCCAGAAAATGCAAGAAAACCACTGACTAACTATGAATTTTAGGATTAGTTAAATTAGTTTATTCTGCATTTACCTGACCAAAGTGTTGCATACAGGACTGCCTTACAACATAAATACCATTCGTTGGCTTATTTTGCACGTAATGATGTTAGTGGCATTGCATTAGATCAAAACTCTATTTAAATCCGATTCCCATTCTGCAGTAACTGTCAACTTGTTGATAGCTTTAATTATTAATAAGATCTAAATGTCTGCCAACCTCTTGTGCTAGTATCTTCCATTTTATGATTAATCCATTTTCTTATTAATAGGAAGACCTTCATTATTACATGACAATTTATTTGTATGCGAAGTGCACAGTTCTGATTAAAATGTGATGTTCTTCTTAAATCTTCATCTAAATATCCTAGGAGACAGTCCCCAAGTGAATCTTCTTTGCTTAAAAAAGGAGGTCTTGGAACTACATGTTCAGAAAAGGAAGCAGTGAGCTGCAGACAGATATCAGAAATTGGAAAGCAAAGTCAGTATTAACAATGGAAGAAGAAAATGGTTTAGCTCTATCCAAAGTCCTTTTTATTTAAAGCAGGTAAATTGTAAGAGGAAGAGAGTTTCAGCAGATGTTTCCAGGCTGAGTTTCATAAAGAACTGAACAGCAATAGGGAAGAGGAACAGTGACAAATGCCCTGCCTTTTATCACACAAGTAGGACTTCTGTCCATAAAGGCAGCCTAATTTGAATGCAATGAACAGTACACCTTCTTCCTTCCCAAGCACACAATCTATGCATTTTCTGCTTCTACATTACTTCTACAAATAAAACTTGTAAAGCTGGTATGCATGCTAGTGGGTCTGAACTTTGAAGTCAGAGCACCGACCGATGCAGGAAACTGTCGCAGTGCAGAAGGACTCCCATCCTCTTTGTGACAAGCTCTGCCCTTCTTGCAGACATGCTGTTCTTACGCAGACACACTCTTGCTATCCCAACTTCCCATTTTAAAAGCTTACCCAGAAAGAAGGCTTGGCTGAAATACAAATTAAAAGTAACAGTGTCAGGATGCTGATATTCTGGTTCTGCTGGATTTCAGGAAGTTTGCTTCCTTAGAAATGTAAGGATTTTTCTCTCTGGCCAGTAATGTTCCATCCTCTAGTACAGCCTTGTACAATGTCAGTGCGTGAGTGCACATGTATAAATACGTGTAAGTAAGCAGCAGCATGCAGTGCACTAACGGGAACAGATACCCTCAGTCTGAAATTCTGGCTCTACAGAACTCAGCGAGAGCTTTGCCCCCACTTTTGCTGGAACCAGGCTGTCATCCTGCAGTCTGAAGTCCTTTAGTTCTTTAGACTAAGAATGGGTGAAGTGCAGGTCCCGATGGCCTTCTCCATGCTGGACAGAGTTAAGAACATTTCGTGTGAAATGTCTCTTGTCATATTTAAGTAGGAAGAGAGAAATCTCCAAAGCTTTGGAGGTTGATTTGGCCAGATGTTTAGAAGGTCTACAGCTAATCTGATTGCTCTTTTCTGGACCTCTTCAGTTAAGTCATCAGGTCACAGCTCTCCTGAGCACAAGGTCTTTTATAGCATTTCTAGTCAGTTCTGATCAGGGTAGAAATAAGAACCATTTTTCCCCCCAGGTACTTTAGAGTTTTTGTGCACATCAAGTAAATGGATATTAAATATTCTTCAAGAAGAATGGCATGTGAAAAGGATTCACCTAAATTCTTTGCTGGAGAATCAAGTTTCTCCTTTTTTTCTCAGCCATATACATCTGTCCTGAATTTCCATTGCCAGATTAAAGGCATTAAAGAAATCTCAACAGAGTGATTACTTATTATTTTCCACCTGTTGATAATCCCCGGTATTTAAAATGTCACTATTTTATTTTGAGACAGAGCTTTCTCAGGAAACCCTCTATTTGGTGTTTATCATGCAATAGCTATCATGTTCCTCAACAAACCTCAGGAATCAAGCCAGCAGATTAGCTCCAGGAGAACAGACAAATCTCAAAGGTATCTTTATAGCTATATTACGGGTCAGAAGCTCACTGCAAACGGGACCCATTTTGTTGCTCAGATATTGCTGAATTGCAGGAAATGTCTGCATTAATATCCTAAACAAATATATTCTTCCTATTATTCTTGATCATATCTTACTTGTATTGCCCTTTTAAAACATAGATAATTTAGCATTAAACTGAAATGGATTCAACAAATCAGACCCTAGGGTATTGTAAGGTTGGTTTTGGTTTGTATTTTTTTTTTCACAGGTAGTCAGGGCTTTATGTCAGTTTTTGTTTTTGATTTCACCTTTTTTCTTTTTTTTTTTCCCCTGAACCCATCAGAATTGCTACCTGCTCCTTTCAGACAGATTAGAGCTTAAGAAAAAAATACTTTTCAAAATATTTTTATCCTGATATAAGATATTTATAACACTTGATAGTCAGATTTTTTTGGTGATGATGTAGCCTGGAGACTAGTACATGATGCTGGCTGAACAATCTTGGTGCAAAAGCAAGCCAAATTTTTGAAAACTTTCCAAAAGCAATGATGGTGTGAAGTTTGGTGTCATGTACCTTCCTCCTCCTCATGAATATGCTCTTTTTTTTTCTTCAGAAAACTCTAACCAACCTTGTTCCATCTGATCACAGGTGTTTTTCAGAAGTCCTACACCATCAAGATGCACTAATAGGAGATGTGAAAAGGAATGTAATTTCTGTCCTGTTACCTAGATTGTCAGCAGTTATACTAAAATACACTTAAAGGCCATCTGGCCCATGGAAGACAGTTTTCATACAAATAGGTTTATGCCAAAAGGTTTATGAATACAAAGATAAGTAAGAAGACTGTTGAGACTGAAGGAGTAGATTCTTGGTAAAATAATGACTACTGGGGACTTTAATGTGACAGAAGAACTGTATTTCCTCATACCCCTTTTGGGAAGACAAGCTGACTGTAGTTTTGATTCCATGGTTGGAGAGGAGAGATTTGGGGATGGGCAACTTCCTGGTCAGGCAGGACCTGGACTGGGATGATGGGACAGAGTAAACAGTATCCTAGGTGACTCAAAGAGTGGAAAAGTGGAATCACAGCCAAACTCTGAGGACAGCATTGCTGAGACTGCTGATCCTACATCCAGAAGTGAAAGACAAGAACTGCCCTTTTGGCTATGGGGCAGCTGCCTCCTAAACTGCTTTAGCAAATCTCTGTTGCAGGTCTGCTAGATTCATTATTCCTCAGCCTCCCACCCTCCCAGCTTTCCCCAAGAGGTCCTCTTGGACTCCCAGAAGAGATTATTTACGAAGTTATTATTTAAAAATATAATCTTTTGTGGTAACTATGAAAAAAGGGTAAATGTTAGATATTTAACCTGGACCATGCTACCACATCCCTCAAAGAGGAAGTAACCATTTCCTTGGCCGCTTGGTGGAAGAATTTATCATGTCTTGTTCAAGTGGTATGTTTGGAATAGTTTTTGGTGTCTTTGTTGGATGACTTTCCAGATAGTAAGATTTCCCTTTTGCCTTACAAATTAATCTTTGAAGATGGGTCTGGAATATGAGGCTTTGCAGACTTAATGGTAGTAGAAAAAACTCCAAAGACTGTAATAAAGTGAAAGAACAACAGAGTAAATGGCAGTCAAATAAGTGGCATAAATCTTCAAAGAGAAAACATGTCTCAGCAGAGAACCAAATTTAATGGAGGAAAGAAATTTATCAGGAATTTAAACAGAGTCTGCAGGAAGGAAGGTTAAAGTCAACTAATCAATAAACGTTTAGAAAGTTGCCATTTCCCCAAGTCTCCTAACACTCACAAAGTCCTAATCCCAGCTTCTTAAGCTATATAGCAGAGCTGAGGTTGCAGGACAAAACAGTATATCTGGCCTGGTGCTGGCAGACTGAAACAAAGTTCCTTATATTTTCTTCATCCCTAGGACCTACAAGTAGGTTAAGCTGATTTACCAAGGCTGAACTTCTGACAGGATAGCCCTGGAGGCTATAAAACAAACAAAGTTTGCATTTTTATTCAGAAATGTTATTCAGAAAACTGTATTTAATAATTAAGAATACAGATGATTTCAGCTAGAGATATATTTTAAGTAACTTTCCTGTTTTGGGTTTTAGACTAATGCATAGGAGTGTAGCATAAAACAATAATAAATATAACTCTGCATTACGTGAAGCACTATTAATAAGCTGCTTCTTGTAACAATGTTATTGCTCCTTATACCTGAGAACATACTGCAGGTGTCACAAGTAATTTCTTAAAGCAATGTTCAGAATATTTACTGATAAACCTGACAGGATTATTGTTTTGGATAGGAAAAATCAGAAATAATCTCTCTTCTGAATTTTATATGACTGATAATAAAAAGGTTAACAGAAATTCTCCATCACTGTGGAAGTATTTACAGTGAGGTGCAGTTTTACCAGCACAAGAATAAGTAAAATCCATTTTAGACTAAGCTAACACACTGTATGTGAGCATTCCTGCTTTGGAAACTTTTGCAGCATGATTATGCTCCTGTTATACAACCTGAAACATAAATTGACAGCTTTAGGAGGAGCTTTTCATTCATTGGCATAATGGTTCAATGTGTTATGGAAATAACTTAGATTCATTTATATTCAAGGGCTTTGGAAGGACTTTTATGTAGAAAGGTGCTCAGATGCAAATTTTCAGCATATCTAAATTCACTTGACATATTTTTCTCTTAAAATGAATTATCAAACACTAGGATAATATTATGGGGAAAAAATGCATGTTTTAACCAGAAACAGTCATCTTATCATGGAGTGGTATTCGCATATGTCCTATTACAGTGAAAATGTCAGATATTTTCTGTATTTATTTTGCATATATCCAAGAATTTGCATGTGTTCTGTTGTACATTCACTACTTAAAACTTCAGTACTGCAGCAGGACAGTACGAAATAGCTCCAGACCTAAGTCTGAGAGCAGCCCATTAACAGCCACCTTCTGAAAGTGATCTGAAATCCAAGTGCAGATGAAGACCATCCTGAGAGCTGCTGCATCTTCTGAGGATGTGGGGCAGAATTCGGCATCCAAAGCAGAAGTCATAAAAGATTGCTTTGCTAGAAGATGAGTGGGTGCTAATTAACATGCTCTCTGAAGTGTCTTTATTATTGCCATTGTGTGATGCCCAGAAGAGGACGGTGGCCAGCTACAAAGTCACTTAGATCAAAAGTGACATCCAGACTGTTTTCAGCTGTAAAAATTAGTGGACTGTTGATTCCCTGTTTGACCCTTATGCTTCACTGCCATCAGGAAGCAGTGGAGCCCAGAGGTCTCCCCTCTCAGTCTCCATCGGTACAAAGCCATGCTTTCATCCACTCAGAAATCTTAGGAGATGATAACTGCTGTCCTCTTGGATCTTCCAAGACCACAAAAAACATCTAAATAAACAAATCTACCTCTAGAGAAGTCTAGGGCCTTAATTTTTTTCACAAGGAAGTCTTCAAGAAATATTGGCCCATGTGTCTAGTGAAGGTATATCCTTTTCATTAGAACAAGCTTCGGGTCAGCCAACCCACTAAAACCATCACAGGATACAAAAAAATTTGATGATAGGCCAAAGGACTTATCCCACCACCAGCTATCATCCACTCATTCATCATGGCCTTGAATCCACAATCTGGATTATCCAAAAGTCTCTTGGAGATTTCTGGGTGCTTACTAATTGCCGATACTTGTTTACATTTACAGAAGACTTCAGTGAATCTGTGAAGCTAATTAAAGGCAAATGGGTCTCTATTTAAGGAAGTGAAAAATGTAAATGTGAAGTTTAGGATCTACTTCAGTCAAGTGAGCACAGAGAAGAAGGGAGGGAAACATAATAAAGCTCTTGAAATACCACTGCAGAAGAGCTGACTTACAGCCAGGACAGGAGAAATGAAGGAATTCTGAATTTCTCTCTCCTGAATACTAAAATATTTTCAATGTGAGTCTAAAATAAACCTTTAAATGAAACTTTAAAATACCACTGAGTAGCTCAAGGAAGTTCCTGTGAATATAATAGACCACAGCTAGGATCCAAAGTGTCAAATTCAATCCAAGGGTATGTGTTGCCACCACTGCAGCTCAAACAGAATGTCCCTCAGGCACTCTCTGTGTCTTGATCATACCCTACCTAAATAGTACCAGCTACTGAAAGCCAACACGTAGGTGGCCAAGGAAGCAGATGTGGGTATCACTTTGAAGGATTTTCTTTTTGACAGCTCAATAGCCTACCCAGGAGCCTCCAAAACACCATTTTCTGAGGATCTCAGAGTTACTCAGGTTCCTAGGAAGTCACATAGACCCTGTTTACCCCAGCAGCACAGAAGATGTGAATAGAGTCAACAACTTCTCACTCACCTGCCATGTTTATTCTTGCTTTGCTTGCGCTGCTCAGGCTAAATCACAGGCACACATGTCACAAATCCTCTGGGATTCACAATCTGCAAAATTTAAACACTGTAGGTTCAATGTGCCTCTGCTGAGGAGGCAGCCTTTCTGATCACTTTTGTGCAGACAGCAGCAGAGGTGGAAGGATGTGAGGAAAGGAAAGCCTTTTCTCTCAAAATTGGGTTGGTTGACTGAATTCCATGGTCTTCCGCACAGGTCTGTCCTACCATCTTTTCCCTCTAATGATTAGTCCCTGATCCCTCTCTACTCAGCTGCCTTGAGGCTCCCTGCAAGCTCCCCCCTCACTTGCCTATGCAGGATGTAAGCTTTGCACACTTTCCACAGTTTCCCAGGGGATGCTTCTAACCCCAAGTGGTTTATAGTTGAATGTGTATTTGCAAATTGATAATTTTGCATCATGCTGCTTAGCCTTGGGCAGTGCTGTATTAGGGATTAATTCCCCCATGGGCTCCTGAGCAGAAACTACAAAGACTGGAAGTAGAGCAGAGAGCTGGTGCTGGCAGCCTCAGAGGTAGCTGCTGGCTGCACAGAGCAGCAGGGAGGACTCGGGGTCCTGGGACGTGATGGACAAGCTGCTGCAGCCAGCTGAGACAGCCACTTTCTCCCCATTCACTGCCTAATGAAAGGAAGAGTCTGACCTCTGGGACTGGAACCTCTCCCGAGGATACAGAGAGCCACACTGCACTCTCAGAGCTTTACTCTCAGTGGAGTAGCCCAGCATAGACAAGTGTGCCATGCACAACACAGACTCAGCAGGAAAGCACATGTATAGGCATTGCCCTGCACTGACACAGTATTCACCAGCTTTGCTGTCAGGAAACCTCTCAAAACTTTCAGGTGGGGACACATGCAACTCTTCCCTGCCAGCTGTGGAGCTCTCTCCCACAGCAGCTATCATGCCTCATGGCTGCAGTGGTTTCCTCTCCAGACAAGAAAACGTAACAAGAGAAGGGAAAGGGATAGGCTAAACAAGAGAGCAACAAGGGGGGAGTGAAAGATGAAGGATACTAGGAAGCAAAATGTAGTTCAGCTTTAGGAAGTCACATTTGTATCGAGCAGGGCTGGAGTTGGCTGGGAAGAAGAGCAAGTGAATAGTTCATGTGTAAATAATAGCTGGGTAGTTACTGCGCTAAAGGACTCGGAAATTCTCACTGATGAGAGGAAGTCTGATGTAGCTGTCATTGCAGAGCACTAACAGGGTGATTCATGTGAATGGAATCTTTGAAATCAGTATGTAGTTCTTGTAGGAAGGACTGAAGGGGAGGGATGGCACCCTGCACTACCCCCTTTAGAATGATCAGTAGCTGGAGGAGTGTGAAAACATGCAAATGATAAACTCCAGAAGGATGTTGGGGGAGTGAGGAGTAATGAGGTGATGAGATCTGCTACAAAACACTAAATCAAGCCAGAAAGCAGGATGAATTACTCCTAAAGCATCTGTCTTCACTGAAGGATAAAAATTGCATTTTTATAAAGAACTCAGGTTTGTAGGATCTCATGCAACTGGTAGTAAAACATTACACGTTTTAGAGATTGAATTTTTTTTCTTTCCACAAAACAGATTGCAAGTGAGAGCAATCTCCTTTTGGAGACTCATTCTAACATTAATACTAGGGTTACAAGCTGTTGATCACATAAGGCTTATGTGATCTGGTTACATTCATTATGAACAAAGGACGAATATAACTAATAATATTTATATTTGGAGCTTCACAGAACTGGACTTCTCATCCTTAATGGATATTAAAGAGAATTTGACCAGAGGGTGGATAAAAAGCAGAAAAAAATGCCTGAAAATCAGAAGCTGTTTAAGAAGTTTGCTAGATGGGCAAGAAGCCATGGCCTAGAGTCAAGAACACGGATAACTTTGGCAGAAAGCTCAGGGTAGTTGACAGAAGAAGCCCGTGACAACAGATTTCTTAAAGCACAAAGGGCCATAAAGGGACAGTAAACTGTTGCACAGAGACAACCACAGCATATGGCTTCTAGCACAGGACATGGATGTCCTTGGATATTGGCAATTTTTATACAGCTCACCAGGCCTTTCAGAGGGAACTGCTACAGAAGTTCATCCTGGATATATGACCCTAGCTGAATGACAAGGATAACCCATGCAGCAGCGATGTTGGGCTGGCCTTAAAAAGTTAGCAGCTGCTTTCAGCCTGAATAAAAATTCTGACACTGGGAGAAACAAGTATCTTTGGTGTCCCTTGAGAAACTACATTTTCCTGTTTGTGAACGACTAGCCTGTGTTTGAAACAAAGGAGATTTAAACTGGAGGAAAGGAATTTAAACTTAGGAAAAGAACACCAAAACAACCCAACAGCAGTGGCAAATCAGAGTCCTCACAGTTCAGCTATACAAGTAACATGTGAAACATCTGATTACAGACTAACCTCCAGCAGTCTTTGGTCTTACTCGTGCGCCTGGCTGGTCAACAAATGACTGCCCTTTCATAGGATGCTTTCCTCCCACCCCTTGGTTTTTTGGAGCCCCACTCCGGGTGTAGCATCAATAGCTGACAAAGTCCAGCACGTGAACTCAGGCAGGCTCTCTCCAGCCCTGAGGAGAACGTTGCTGTGTTTCCGTGACAAGTCTCCTATGCCATTTGTCCCTGAGTGACTGTTTTCCAGGTGACGGCGACTCTAGAAGCTCCCTTCTGCCGTCGTGGCCCAGTCCTGCAGGCCAAGTGCTCAGCACCCATCCACGACCCGGCACCGAGGGTGCGGGCTCAGCCTCACGGCCCGAAACGCGCCCGAGCCCCGTCGGGCCGCGAGGGCGGCGGCGCCGCGGGGCCGTGAGGGCACCAGGNCACTGCTCACACCGCCCCACATGGCACTGCTCACAGCGCCCCACATGGCACTGCCCGCACCGCTCCACATCGCACTGCCCGCACTGCCCGCACCGCTCCACATGGCACTGCCCGCACTGCCCGCACCGCCCCAGCACGCCCGCCTCGCGCCGCAGGTGCCCTGTCGCGCTGTGTGACTCCGCTCCGAGCCTGACACTTCAGCTGTGCTAAAGCGCCACGAACACGCGTGTTCGCGGTGCATCCAGACCAGAGAGAGAATTCCCTCACACTCCCGAAGTGGCATTGGATAGGGGGTTTAAGATACAGGAGTCCTCGCAAACCTACTCCCTGCCGCTGGGGTGAAAACTGCGGGGCGCTGGTTTGTTTAAGCCTCTGTACACTCAGGAATAGTTCTCTTAAAAATACTCTTTTCTTGGAGAGGAAATTGATCCCTCTATGGGGACTTTTGGAGACTCATTAAATCCTGTGTTCAGAAACCTTACAACTAACGAGTGTGTACAGTGAATAAGTCTGGGCTTCTTTTCAGAGGTGAAAAATTCATAGTTTTTCATTAGAATTTGTTTCAGATGTACTTGCTCACTTTCAAAAATTTTTCCTTGTTTGAATACTCTATGATACATGCTGCCTGGCAAGAGTGATGGGTGAAAAACAAGTGACGTTTTGAACGATTGCAAGAGAATTCTCATAGAAAGTAATTTTGGGATTAAAAAGCATTAGAACTGGCATTGGAAAACTCTGTAAGAATGTCATCTAATCAGGGAACAGAAAACTATCATCTGATACACACTATCAATCAATATTAACCAATACAGCTCAACAAAGAATGTTGAATGCTGCCATAAATTTCTCTGAACAAACTATAAATCAAGAATATATGCTTGAATTATATAACAAATAGATTCTAGCAGTGAAGTGCATCAAGGTGAAAAAAAAATTGTACATTTTGCCAAGAATTCACAAAACAAGAGCTAAATTCATGTGGTCATTGTGAAAAACCCCACTCTAATTTTTTGTAACTAGTTTTGCAACTGCAATTATGTTTTCTGAAACATAGTATCCATTTTTGTAGACAAATATTTTTGTTTTGATGAGACTCAAGCTAAAACCCCTTTATTCTTTTAAAAGTTATTTTAAAAATTATTGCTTTGTGCATGGTGATGTTGCTTGTTGAAAGCAATTTGCATGAATATTAATCTGACAATATATACTGATTGTCATGTAGGTCTAGAAATCATCACCTCATATAGACAGGCAAAATGAAACATAAAAATGTTATCCAGCATTCATAAAATGGGCATAACATTGACAAGCTTTCAAAACCCTATAAGAAGTGCTTCTGGTACCAAAAATTATGCTTGAGGACCACAGCCTTGCTCCTAGTCACTTTGCTGCATTCCTGACATCTGTGCTAGACTCCCTGTCCAGCACATGGAAAGATGTGCCTGCCTTGAGGTGGAGTCCAAGGAGACTCTGTATATCTCTTCCCTACTGTGTGAAGATGAAGATAGGGAACAGCTAGCAGTACAAAATAGTGCACATGTTTAAAGAATGTTTGTCCCTTGGAAGCCTTCAGGAAGGCTTTGTGCATTCAGGAAGGTTCTTCCTTTCTGGAGATAGGCTAATGTGAAAATCACATACAGGCTTCTAAATAGCAGGATGCTCTGGGTACCTTGCTCCCAAGCTTGTGTACTGACTACTAAATACTTTATGGATAACGGGGATCTCAGACTGCATATTTTCCTCTTTCAAAGAAGAGCTGAATCATATGAAGAGATCACCATGTTCCACCTTTCCCTCTCCCATTTCCTGCAAGTCGTATTTGATGGTTCTGTACAGAACACAACTTGCCCAAAGCAAAGTTAGTCCAAATCTGGCTTGGGAGACAGTCCAAACTGCCAGGGTTTGGGTATCCTTGAACCTGTCAGGCAGTGCAAGGGATTAATCACTTCTGGTACAGGTGAGTGGTAACAACAACTTAGTTGAATCCTTGGTAGAATATCCCTGGAGTACCTCTGCTGCAGCAAGCCCTGCAGAAGAGCACAGCCCCTACTCTGGGCATCCCGACTGTGCTCCTGTCTGAGTTAGGGTTGAGCCACTCGCTGAGGTTGGGAGAGAGGCTTGTCTGGATGAGTCAGAGTCAGATACTGGACCAAAAAAAGGTGATGTTTGAACTATAAAATATACACAGCCTGTGGGTGCTTTGTAGTAAAAGGAACAGGGCTGAAAAATTTACCTGCATTTTGGAAGCAGAATCTCAGCACTAGTGTGGACTTATTCCTCTGCTTTCTAGAAAATAAAATATTTTCTTTGGTTCAAACGTAGGGGTAACTTATAAATGGAAAGGTGACCTTGATCTTACAACTAAAAACAAAGGGAAGAAGAAAGGGTTTGATGGTTAGGAATTCCATTTATACCTAGGTCAATCCCCCTCAGATTTTCTACAGATATTTCCAGACCTCAGGCAAGATGAGAAAAGCACATAGAGAACAGCCCAAACTCTTCTTATAATCATTGAGTAGGTGAAAATGTTTATCAGAGGGAGCAAATCTGAGTATGTAAAGTTCCTTGTGCAGTCAAGGTGTCCTAGTTTTATTCCTACAAAAAAAGTCTACATATCAATCAGAGATGACATGTCCTCCCCCACCTTACTTTGGCTGTGCTAAGTTGCTTCAGGGTATATCGGTGCTGTTGTTGTAGCTCTGCTGCAGGTACAGGTGCTAATAAATACATGGGGCTCTAAGGTCTTAGCTAAATGAAACAAAACTTTCACAGAGAAAAAAAAAACTTCTTGGAAGGTTTTTATCCCCATGGCACTAGAACGGAGCCTATTTAAAAGTTTTTCAAAAACAGAACCAATATTTTAAAAGTGGGTTTGAGATGCCACATTGAATGTTTCTCCTGCACAAGTGCTCTAATGGACAGATAAACAGTGATCGGTCAGACCCTGAATATTTTATACAACAGAAACTTGTATTGAAATTAATGGAAATTTTGGCCTGAGCAGTCTGAGAGGAAAAAAACTGTTGAAGAATACATTTAGTGCAGGTAACTCGAGGTGCAGCCGCAGTTTGAGCTCTGGGTGGCTGGAGCCCCAGGCAAGGGGCAGTGAACTGGTGCCATCTCTTTGCACAACAAAGGGCACGAGGGACTTGTGGCCCAGCTGGGGGACAAAGCAGAGACAGGGCAGGAGCTGAGCACTCAGCTGGAAGACCCCAGACTCACTCACACTGACTGTAAGGATATAAAACCCAGGGATTCTCATGGTCAGGGTCTCTCCTCAGAGGCACCAACTCGAGCTCATGCTGTTGTTGCACAATGACTGAATTATTTTAAGGATTGGGATGTGAGACACCATTCTGGGAAACATGGGGTTGAACTGGTAGGGAATCCTGGTCTGACTGTGAGTGTGGTGAGTACAGGGAGTCAAGCAGGGCACCTCTCAGGTCACTGGAGCTGTGAAGGGATCTCAGGCCTAGCTCAGGTGGTGTGGGTGTGACTGCCCGCATCAGGGAAGTTTCCATAACAAAAATACAAAAGAAATTTTAGTTTAAACTGAGAGAGAAATAGACTTTGTCTTCCTCTGGTTGTGGGCCCCTCATATCAGGGTGTCCTCCTCTGTGTGTTCCTCATATCCTGGCTGGAGGCAGCAGGCAGGGCAGCTTGCTCATCCGAGCTCTGCACAGGGGCTGGGCAGAGAAGGGAATTCACTCCAAATTGTTGCAATGTTGATCCCTCCTGGTCTGGTGTGGGAAATCCTCTTCAGTTCTCCTAGGACTGGCCCAAGGTCTCTCTGCTTGAAGGAAAAGACAAAGAGGGGACTGACACTGGATTATTTGAATTACAGCATAACCCATGGCTATTCCACATATCTGAGTTAGGACTTCAGTACTCTCAGAGGTAGTGAGTGAGGTGAATTCTCACCCTATAGGCTTCAGAGAACTTGAATATATAAAAAATTACAGAAATTATCTAAAATATAAATATAGCAGATAAAGTACAGCAGATAAAACTGAAACCATAGCTATCTGGCTGAGTCAGTCTGTTTTTCTGTACACACACATGGCAAATGCAGAGAAGACATTTGCTGTAAAGACAACACAGGAAAACTCAGTCGCTAGACACTACAAAGATATTGCAACAGTTTCAATTCTGAATCAAAATGCTACCAATTTTAAGAGCTTTTAGGGGAAAAAAAAAAAAAAAAAATGAGTGAAAGCCCTAACAGTGAGCACCTATTAGCTCCTGAGGTGAGGGCTTTGACATGAGGTGGCATCTTGGCATCTTATATTTGCAGCTGTAAACAACATTGACAAGTGCCAAATGTGTGTTGGTGTGCGCATCTATTTCTCCGTATCTACTAAGAGAAGGAGAAGTTTTCAAGAGCCCACAGTCTACCACAATGTTTGAGTGAACCCAGATAGTGCTGATTGTTTTAGGCATGTTAGCTTTCCATGTGAGAGTCACCACTGCAGTCCTTTATGGCTCTTCTGTCATTAGATGCCATGATGGGGATGGGAAAGTCTCCTGTATGACTGCTGTTGGATTTGCATTAGACTTGTTAAACATACAGATCCCCTGTGTGATTATTCAGATAAGCTATCAGGTGATCCTGATTTAAGCATCTCAATACAGAGCAGAGCATCCAGACTATTGCTGATATTTGGATTTGCAGCTGCTTGTGATGGGCTTGCTCATTACTGCCTGTGCAGTGCCATTAGTGGGTGGAGTGTACTACTGACACAAAGGCACACTTGCCCTGAGGAGTCTGCAGTTAAAAGCAGACACCAGGATAGTGGAGGCTACAAATATTCAAAAAGTGCAGGAATGAGAGAATGAGGGCTATAACAACTGAAAGATTATGAGATATGCTTGTTATGTTCACCTTTTGCTAGTGCCTTGTTTTTTCAGTCTGTGCTGACACTT